GGGGGGGGGGGGGGGGGAGGGAGGCTGTGATTGCAACCCATATAGGAATACCTAAGCTAATGTAACTAGCTCACATGCCAACAGCTGTACAGCACAAGCTTCTGTGTGGGCCACACAATCCTGCCTAGGAACTGGCAGTTACCTGGGCAGCTAACCATCCTGATGCAGCTTCCCTGACATTGACCCCTGAACTAGGCAGAGTAAAGGTAGCTCAGGTGTGCTGACGTGAGCTGAAATGGGGGTTGGACTTGATGATCTACTGAGGTCCCTTCCGGCCCTAAAAAAAAAAATCTATGAAATCCCCCCCCTTCCCACTGCAGTGCAGACACACCCTAAAAGCGTGATGCTGAACAGATGTAAACTCCCCATGCACACACTATATATGGAACTGACTCTGACTTCAATTGGTTTAATCTGCATCCGTTAAAGTACAAATGCCAGCTACATCGATATGAGCCAGGTTCAAAGCGTTCACACAGACCTGCACTGTGGTGGTGAACTTTGTACCTTGAGTTAAATGAGTGCAACTTTGTGTGTAGATCAGAGAGGAAACTGTACCATGGGTTGGAAGGGCTATTAGCAAACTGTCTCAGAGGACACTGCCAGCAGCTGGGTGCAATAGCAGCATACACTGTAATGACCCTGGCAGTGTGTAGCCTAAGGCACAACAATGGTTAATAAGCTCTTGTTACAGGGCACTAGATCCTTTCTCCCACTCCTCATTCAGGTCCTTTTAAGAAACTCTGCTCTCTTGTCTTCACCATGTAAGGTTCAAAAGTAGAATAAACCCCAGCTAAACCCCGATGAGGAACCTGGGAGCTAATGTTTACTTCCATGCCCCCTCTCCCCTTCTCATACTGGCACAATCTCCATAGGACCCTCCCTCAGGTCATGTTGGATTTTGAGTTGAAAACCCATCAGGACAGGGGCTTTGATGCTGCCTGGAACACATCTGAGTGCTCACAAGTATTAGCTCACAATGACAACACTGCAGGTGCCTGAGTGTGCCACGCTTGGGTCATCTTGCACGCTGCTCTCGAAAGCACTGCCAGCCCCGTGCTCTGCCACACCAGATTCTTGCTGTGCTGGAGTCCTTTCATGCCCATTTCCTCAGCATATGATGCTAAGGCATTAAAGCTGCTAGTAGCCCCAGGACTATCCCATGTCCCTCTCATATCCAAGACAAGAACTCACCATATACTCCATGTTGGCAGCTGGTGGAGAGACCTGAGCCCGCACCTGGTTGTGATAGTCCAAAACTGCACTCATGTCCCTTGGAGATATGTATCGCTTTCTGCGGCTCCTTGGCACCCCAATGCCAGACAGAAGGCCAGTCTCAGTGCTGCTGGTTGGGTACAGCAGGTCAGTGGCATTAGGCAGCACAAAGGAGCTAGATTTCTGTATAATCCAGAGGACCAAGCCACTGAAGTACAGGTGCATATGCAGTAAAGTCATTGTAGGCTTTTCTTCTCCTTCAGTGGGCTGCTTTCAATTGAAACAAAACACAAATGAAACAGAAATAATGCAAATCTTCTCTCTTTCCTCTTGGGTTATTTATCTAAGAAAGAAAACAACAGATACCTGGTTTAGTTTTGCATTTCACAGGCAAAAATCTGTCTCCCACAAAACAATGAAAGAGGTTTTCCTCAAACAAAAAAACAATATAGTAAGTTGGAGAGGCTGTAATTCCTCTTCATTTATAAGAGCAATTTCTCTGGCACCAGCTGGGAAATCTGCAGAGAAGGGTTTGTTTTTTTTTAATTTGAATACAAAAATTTCCCCTCAATTTTTTCAGTTTTCACACTTACCTGCCAAACCTGGGCTAATTAATAACATGCTGCTACATTAGGCTTTGGCTCCTGCCCTGTTATTTCACAGGCTTTTGGTAGGGAGAACATATCTCCTGGACAAACTGAAATATTAGAGAGATAAGGAAACAAACAGCAAATTCTAAAAGAATCAGCAAGAGAATCTGAAGAGTCTTTTTCATGGGAGGAGAAAAATAAATGAGTACAAAACCTGGGATTAAAAAAAAAACCAATCAAATCTATCCTTTTCTTTTTGAATAGATGCATCTCCTAACATCAGGGAAAGACATTCCCCAAAGAAGCTGAGAGGACGTTTCCCAGACTACATACCTTGAGGACTGAGCCAAGAACAGCTGAGAAATGTTAGCTGCTGCAACAGCAGGCTAGAGATTGACCTTTGCAAACAACCTGCTCAGGCACATGTGGCAGAGGGATTTAACCTAGCCAAGTCCTATGAGCTTTTGATAGCATCTGACGCAAAATCTGCATCTTAACTCTTCCCTGGGGAATGTCCTGAAGTTTGAAAGTGCTCTGTTAGGCAATTTATGATCTCTTCCCTATGTACACAATGCATGGCACAGCTCAGTCCCCAGTTTGTTGTGCACATATTATGAGCTGGATAAAATTGTAAAGTGTATCAAATAATTGCAATTTCATCCTGCGTACAGCCACTTCTCTTCTGCTGCAGTCTGTAAGTGGGAACCTTCCCTCAGGCTGTAACACCTAGTGATGGACATTTCTGATGACCACTTCATAGTACCCTCAAAGTGCTTTGATAATCAATTAGTTTTAAATTAGTTTTAAAGCTGAAATGGTCACATATTTTGCACTGCAGAAGCAGTGTGTTGAATACTTCCCTCACCTTAACTGGTGTAAATTGGATCAGTGTGCAGTGTTCTCACTTCATAAGTTCAAGGCAGTGCTCCATCTTGAATTGTCCCATGGGTGTCCCATGGCTGAAACAATCCACCAAAGCCCCACTCCCTCTTGAAACTAAAGCCATGTTGGCATGCTCCATGACTGGACAGACTTCTAGCCATGGTTGTGTTTAGAGCAGCCACTTTCCACATATCAAGGTGCATTAAGTATTTGGAGTATAAATTACTCCACTCTGCTGACATTGGACTAATCATGATATTGGGGATGGGATATCTGTTTAAAGCAGAAAGAGTCTTTCTCTGCAGAGCACTGATGCTCCCCCAGGGCAGCTCTACAGACATTCAGGTCTCCAGCTCACAGGTGGGAAATCACAGCATAAATCTAAAAGCCACAGACAGGTCTGGGAGCATCAGATGTGTTTTCCTGTATCATACCAAACAGTTCAGCTTCCCTGGGACTGAATAAATTACTACAGGTCAGGGAAATCCAGCGCTGGAAAACTGCAGGGACTGTTTGAAATGCTCATCACATCCTCTCTTCCTCTGCTGTTTATAGAGAATCTGAGCAAGCCATAGCTTCTGAATAGTACAGGGGCTGGATACTGCTGTTGCACACAGGAGATGTGTCCACTGTCTTAATGCCATGCCCAGCAGTGCCAGTGTGAAATACACCCCATCCTCTTGCCCTGGCTCCACACACACCAAAGTCCAGAAATGAGGCAATGTAGCCGCCTTACAGCAGTGCTGAGTATGTTTCAATAAGCATCTCTAAAACTGAGCTTCTAAGAGCAGTGCTGAGCAAGTGCTGCTCAGTGCCCCTGTTAGATGATTGACTGGCCTCTGGCATGCACGCAGTGGAATTGAGGGGGATGGGTGCACTTTATAACAGTGCCCCCAGCAGTTGCACAGAGATTGTTTAGAGATGCCCAAGAACCACAATACTGCACAATGCACATACTGTATGGAGATGGTTCTCAGCCAGCTGGTCTCATTTGACTGGGTGTGCCCACTGAACTAGACATGCACCCATTTTATGCCCCCCAACTTCATGTGCACACGTCTGGGGGTTCATGCATATACAGCAGAACAAGGGGGAGAACCTACATTTGCAAATATCGGTCTTGCCAAATCAGAGACTGAGTCTAGAACTTCGGCTGGCCTGATGCACTATCAGGAGAAATGGCCCAGCTGAGAGATCTGTGGAAGCTCTGCTGATTGACACACCGATGTTAGGACTAGATCACACACTTGAGAAAATACTGTCCCCTGGGACAGATTAGCTTGGACTTCATGGTACTTCCTCAGCTGTAAACTAAATGGTTCTACGACCCCACTATATATCTACAGCCATATTTTTGCCAACAATTCATCATAACTGCTGAATGGGCCTTACTTAAATTAACAGTGCTTCAAAATCTAATGAAAGGAGGTGCACGGTCTCATCTGCCAGCAACATAGTTACTTCTGTATCCAAGGGGGTCAGGTTGCCAAGTTTTCAGAAACCCATTTAAAAAAGGATAATGATACAATAAACAAAGGACCAAACCTATGTGTGCCTCAGAGCAATGGGTGATAATACGGGCCTGCCTGTATGGTGGCCTTATGGCTAAATGTGCTTCACAGAGCCTTACAATACACCTCACAGCCAGCCACTTGTTGTACATGGAAGGTATGGGCCATGTAGCCTACATTTCCCTGCATGCATTTCCATCTTGGTCCCATCCAAGCAGTCCCATGAGGTGATACTCTTTATGGTGATAAGTCTTTATGGGCTGGGTTTGAGAATGGAAGACAAGGGACAACTTCAATCTGCTCTGAGTCAGGTGCATCCATTCAGCAGCTCCTGGTGAAATGCTAATATGTGCAACCATACACTGGGCAAAATCTGAGGACCCCAGCACAAGGGGATAAGCCAAGCCCTACCAGAAGCTATTCTGGCAACTCCGCCTGGACCATAGTCAGCTATAATAGGGAAAGAGGATGGCAAAAGGCCAAGATTTGTCTGGAATGAAAGCAACAGAGACGGCAGAAGGGGAGTGTGGGAGGGAGAAAAGGGGCCCTACAGACTCCCTGAGATTAAATTGTAGCACCAGGAAGTGGCAGGGGATAAAGAAGCTGAATAATGCCCAGGAAGAAGGTTTGAGCCCAGCAGGAAATGTGGTCCTCCTTTCGAGCCTCCAAATCCCCTGATGTGACTTTGTCTAATGAAATATTCCCCTGTGCATATTTTTGCAGATGCTGGAGTTTTCCTGGAATCTGCTCTTGTACAAAGTGAATCAAGCTGCCCACTGCTCCTGGCAACTGGATGGACAGAGAGCAGCAGCGACATGTGGTGGACGGGCTGCGGCCAGGAAACATTTTCATTCATCCCATGCACAGTGGATTGAATCATGATTTGGTCAGAGAGGCAGGAAAACCTTCCCCCACAAGCTTCTCCTCAGGGCTCATATCACATTTAGGATGAGTCTCTCTCCCTCGTGGTTGAAGCTGGTTAGGTGGCTCTGGAAACCTTGCCACTATTGAGTTTAGTACACAGATTGGGAGGGCTCGGCTTGGGGTTGGAGAGACAAACTGAGCTCATGAGGACCTTGTAATGAGCCTGTAGCAAACCCAATCAGCCATAGGCTTTTCTTTATGGTGAACTCAAGCAGCAGGCAATTTCTGTGTGAGAAAGCTGCAAACCCCAGCAAGTGCTGTTCTGGGCATATTTAATTTTATGTACATAAACTCAAACAGCCAGTTAAGCCTAACTGTGCCCCTCCCTCCCTGTCTCAGAGTTAAGGCAAGACCCCTGCTCTCCACTAAAATCACACATAGATGCGACCTGTGAATGCAGAAGCAGTGCAGCAGTGTCTGCCCAGTGAGAAGCATCTTGGTAAGGGGGCAAGAAGGAGGTGGCAGTCACAGAACAACAGCAATGGCTGCTTCATTCCAGTGCCTCTCTCTGTGTTTGAGCTGCATGTTTGGGAGTGGGAGGGAGCATGCTTTTTGGACATTAGTGGGGTTCTTAGTTGCCGGTGCTGCTTCATGCCAGGTTCTACTAAACACAGTTCCTCCCAGGGGCCATAATCCCCACAATCCTCACCCATAATGGTACCAAGGAGGTTCAGCAAACCCAGTCTTCTGGGGTCATAGGTCTTTATGGACAAAGGTTTTGAGACAGGTCAGTTAAAACTGGAATCTCCTGGAGCCGGGGGCCTCAATTTCTCCTTTGTCTGCTCCCACCACTGGTACTAACTACCTAAAGCAGCCAGCAAACACTAATAACAATAAGAGTTTTGCAGAAATAAGAAGATCCAGGATAGGGAAATTATGTGGCTCTTGAGAGCTGAGTAGAAGTAGTCACAGAACTGGACTTTCTAACCAGGTCACTGCTACGGGCTGTTTTCTTTTCCAGGTCCCCATGTTCCTTCCCATGCTAAGGAGATCTTCTTCCATCCTCAAACAGGATGTTTCACCAGCATGAATAGATGAAAATATCCCTAGGCTGAAGGATGGTGAGGGTAAAAACTCAGTTTGGCACCACTGTCAAGTCTGCGAAAAGGTCAGTTTAGTACTTACTGGGTGCATCTACACATGCATTTACTCTAGCCTAAGTTTACTCTGGTGTAAGACACTCTGGTATAAGCATTTTAGGACAGGCGTCTACACATGCGGGGATTAAGAAGCAGATTTATGCCAATTTTCATGCAGCCCTGCAATGGGCCCTTGCCACCACCATGGGGAGCTCCAGGCGCTGGCTGCAGCTGCCAGCACCTGGCAGCCATTTTAAAAGCCAGGCCCGCTGGCTGCTCTCTGGCCAGCCCCTTCCTTGACCAGGATCAGTGTGCCTGGTGCAGGGGCAGTGTGCAGCAGCTCTCCCCTTGCCCACTCTGCCTCCCTGCACTATGGCTACTCTAGCCCCAGCCCCTAGTGGTGACAACCAGAACCCCATGCTCCTCTTCTGGCCCCAGCAGGCACCTCCTGCCCAGGCCCTAGGAGAGCTGCATACCTACCAGTGGGGGCCAGGACACTGGGTGTGGGAGACCCCAGCTGATCACCTTCTCTAGCACTCTCGCTCACCTGCACCACCGCCCATGAACCCCCCACCCTCCCTGCCCACCCCCAGCACCACACTCACTATAGGCACATCAGAAGAACAAATCTTTATTTCCCTCACATCAAGCAGACCCCTTACCTCCCTCCTCAACACACAGAGAAACCCTCCCCCATCCCTCCCCAACAGAGAGCCCCTCTACCACCCACCCCACCCACTAACAGTAAAACCCCCTCTTCCCTGTGCAAACTATGTACAAAGTGAATTTTGTGGTGTCCCAGAGTGGGAGGCCATGGAGTGGGGATGCGTGGGGGACAGAGCCCAGGGGCAGGCTCCC